CGTACGGGGCGGCAGCTGCCCCCAGCACGGCCCCTGATGGCCGTTTTTCCGCCCGTCCCTGCCGGGCCCCAGGCGCACGCTGGCAGACATCATCCTGGAGAAGATCACCGAGAAGCAGACCGAGGTGGACACGGCGCTGTCCGAGGTCTCGGGCTGCCCCATGCCCCAGCTGGATCCCCGTGTCCTGGAGGTCTACAGGGGCGTCAGAGAGGTGAGGCCAAAGCCACCCCTGTCCCGCTGAGGGGCCAGCCCCACCCTCAGGGGTTTGGGTAGGACCAGACACTGTAGGCTTTCAGGGTGTTTCCCAGGGATGATCTCCTGAGCACCGTGCTCAGGATGAGCCTGTGATGGTCCTTCCGTAGGATCTGGGATGGTCCTTTCTTACCATGGAGGGGACAGGCTTGTCGTGATGGTTGACACAAGTCTCACAGCTCTGCTGTCACTGCCCACATGTCACAGCCTGGCCCGTGTCCGTGTCTTTTAAGGTGCTGTCCAAATACAGGAGTGGGAAACTCCCCAAGGCATTTAAGATCATTCCTGCCTTGTCCAACTGGGAGCAGATCCTCTACATCACAGAGCCAGAGACGTGGACAGCAGCTGCCATGTACCAAGCCACCAGGTGAGATCAGCTCTGGGAGCTGCCACTGTGGGATTCTTTAACTTTTTCTTTCCAAAACTGGGGCCAGATCTACAAAATCCCTACCTGTTCCCTGCCCGACCTCCTTTTCCACACCTCACTTTGCGCTTTGCTTTTCCCAGGATATTTTCATCCAACCTGAAGGAGAGGATGGCCCAGCGGTTCTACAACCTGGTGCTGCTGCCACGGGTCAGGGACGACATCGCCGAGTACAAACGCCTCAATTTCCACCTCTACATGGCTTTGAAGAAGGCTCTGTTCAAACCAGCAGCCTGGTTCAAAGGTGGGGACTCCCTGGGGGGCTGCTCTTCCTGCCCGGGAGCCTCTCACCCCTGTGGTGTGACAGGACACTGTGTGTCCCCTGCAGGGGCTGGTGAAGGAGATGCAGGGAGTCCTCCCTTGGTGGATGAAGTGGCTTCCAAACCCCAGGGAGCTGTTTGGGGAGGGTGGGGGATGAGTGCTGTAGGTGGACAGAGCTGCTGCAGCCAGTGCTGTGTGTATTGAGGTTCTTTTAGAGGTTGATCTTCCTCAGCATTGGACATCTCTAGGATTCAGCTGGGCCATCTTAGACCAGGCTTTTGCCAAGAAAGGTTGGACCAGGTGATCCCCTCCAACCTGGGATTCTATGATTCCTTGACTGATGGCAGGTTATGAACAGTCTCAGATCTGATCTCGGTCTCACCTGGCAGCCTGAGGTGCTTGGGGCTCATGTCAGGGAGATGCTGCGACCCCTGTAACAGCAGCTGAGGCTCTTATCTTACCTCTTGGGGTCGGATGTGTTTTGGAGAAGCAGCTTCACACCCGGGCTGTGCCTGCCCTGACTCTTGCCCCCCTGCAGGGATCCTCATCCCGCTGTGCGAGTCGGGGACCTGCACGCTGCGGGAGGCCGTCATCATCGGCAGCATCCTCACCAAGTG